GAAGGCGGGCCTTCCTTGGATACAGGAACTATTCGAGCCGTTCATGCCAGACTGAGGAGAGAGATGTTGTAATAATGTAAAATATGTGAAAAATAATGTTTTTCGAACGACCTAGTATGACCTAGTACTACTTTTGGTAGTACCTAGGATAGCAAAGTCCACTAAAGGAGGTAGAGCTTTTTCGCATTTGGGAAATGCTGCCTTGGCATCTAATTGAAATAAGTTGGTTCATAATGGTTCTTATGTGCATTTCAGCAAATCCCTGTTCTGTTAATTTGGGTTTTGATTAGTTCAGCTTATTACTCAAGTCATGGGTTGTTATGGTTATTTTTATATCCAGACAGACGTCTAGACAACATGTCCATGTGCATCCATTATTGCAACACACTAACTAACTTTGACTCAATTTGGGGACATTTAGTATTCAAAAGCGTACAACTGTTAAGCTTGCAAGAAAAATAAAAGTTAGTTATGATTAATTTAAAAATGTCCTTCACTTTTGTCATTTTTATTTAATTTCTGTATGTACATATATCCCAGAAACGAAATAAACATGACAAAAGTGCATAACAAAATAGTTCAAATTTAAAATAAAATAAAAACTGAAAATATTATATACAAAATATTTATTATTGCTGTAACATTTATTCCAATAACGTTAACCAGCATTAAATTACTGCATTAAGTTGGCTACTGTAAAGTTTTTTGAAAGGCTGTATTTTCTACAAGAGCAGACTAATTAGCAATATTATTTATCAGCTAATTGGTTAACATTATGTCTGGCAAAGTCGTTTCAGAGAACTATAAATGTGATTAGTAGATTTTACTTACTTGAAAATGTATAAAAATATAAGGTATAAGATAAAACGTATGTGAATAAAGATAAGATACAAATATAAGATTACATATAAGTGAATAGAGTCCATTCCAAATTCATTTAAAAGGTTTTTTTAGGTTTTAACTAGCTAATTTGGTGGTTTTAACAGTCAACTTTAAATGGAAGCTTATTGACTTAGTTTACCCAAGGCAATGAGTTTCTTCACTTTTTTAAAGTAGCCAACTAATCACATTTTACACTGAGGCAAAGAAAGGTATTATATTTTGATAAAAGGACCATTTTTTCCCCTTTGGAATAACATAAACCATATCATAACCTAGGACAGAGTGTTAAGAAAGTAAATAAAGTGAACTCTGACTTCATGTTGACTTTAAACCATACTACAACCTCCATTGAAGATCGCTGTGAGCTATTATACTTTGACATTAGGAGTTAATTATATCATTTAACTGAGAGAGTTTTTCCATTAATGAAAGAGCAGATATGGTGTACATTCCTGATGAGAGGCTCAAAAGAGTAATTAAAAAACCCTCAAGGGTGGTGATGAGCCTCTTTATATCTCCTCAAACGTGCGAGATGGTTAATCTGTCCACGGTTACAGAAAATGAAGCATAACGCGTGTCTCGGCAGTAGACCATGTCATTTAAACTTCACATCTAAACATCTCGTTGTTTACATAAGCAGCCTTCATCTCTGGCCTCTCCTCCCGACGCTCATGCAGCTCCGAGGCTCTCTCTGTGTTGTTTTGAAACACTGATCATCTCTGATTAGGAGGAAGTGCTTCCCTCCAGACATGTGGCATTTCATACTCATTACACCTATAGCTGTGATCGCTCCTCTTTTCTTTATCGTTAAAATCAGTCCTTTTCTCTCTTCTTCTGATTTCTTGTGTCTTTATAACAGAGACATCTAGTAATTTATAAGAATTAACAGCATATAGACTGGCACAGAAGGGAGATTTATTTATTTTTTTTTATCAAATCACAAATAAATAAATGAGAAGCTAAACAGAAATATAAACGTCGAAGAAAAATGACAAAATTACTAAAATTAAAATAAAAGTTGAAAATATAAAAATAAAAGCTAATTAAAAGTATATAGTATATAATATTTGAAAAGTTACTAATGAGGTTCCATTTAAAGGAATAGTTCACCCAAAAATCACAATTTGCTGAAAATCTACTCACCCTCAGGCCATCCAAGATGTAGATGAGTTTTTTTCTTCATCAGAACAGATTTGTTCAGATCACTTGTTCACCAATGGATGCTCTGCAGTGAATGGGTGCCGTCAGAATGAGAGTCCAAACAGCTGATAAAAACATCACAATAATCCACAAGTAATCCACACCACTCCAGTCCATCAACTAACATCTTGTGAAGCAAAAATCTGTGTTTGTAAGAAACAAATCCATCATTAAGACATTTTTAATTTCAAACTGTTGCTTCCTCTATTCATAATAACACTTTCTCCAGTGAAAAAGTCGTCTGGTCTGAATCAGGAGAGAAATATGCACAGATCAAGCGCTGTTTACAAGTAAAAACAGTTCAAAACAGGTCTAAACAAATATGTGGTTGGATTTTGATGACAGAAGACAACAGAAGATGGACTTTTTTTTTTTTTTTTTACTGGAGTAAGCGTTATTATGGATTATGGACTCGAATTTTGGCCAGAAGTGATGGTTTTAAAGTTAAAAAGTCTTAATGATGGATTTGTTTCTTACAAAAACACAGCTTTTCGTTTCACAAGATGTTAATTGGTGGACTGGAGTGTTGTGGATTGGATTATTGTGATGTTTTTATCAGCTGTTTGGACTCTCATTCTGACGGCACCCATTCACTGCAGAGCCTCCATTAGTGAGCGAGTGATGAAATGCTACATTTCTACAAATCTGAGGAAGAAACAAACTCATCTACATCTTGAATGGTCTGAGGATGAGTACATTTTCAGTTTTAGGTGAACTATTTCTTTGTGTTAGGATGCTTTCTTAGAAGGCAGCTGTCTATGTAGACAACACAGCAGACACTCCACTTAGCAATCAACCGAGTGACCCAAAAATTGTTAGAAAAATTCCATTTATTAGCAAAAGCAAAAATCTATAAGCTGTTACATTTAGATATTTAGACACATTTTACAGGTCATGGCTATCGCGATATATACAGGACATCATTTTAGATAGTGGTCGTCATCATCATAAACCAGCATCACTGTTACAGTTACAATGTATTATGGATCTCCATCCATTGTTAAGTAGTAACTTTTAGTAGGATAAGATTTATTTGTAATGGTAATATTAGCCACATACTTCATAATTCATTGGTAGAAACAACAGTGAACGGGTTTAGCTTTAGCTATAAGCTGAAACGAATGCTTAGCTTTATTTGTGATTGCTGTGTGAATGTGACATGATTCACACAGCAATCACAAACAGATGCACTACTATGATTTACAACAGACTCTCAGGGACAAGGTGTAATTTACAGCAGTCAAAACCAGGTGCATACACTCATTAAGATTTTATGGGTATCATTAAGGGTCATTCACTTCACATAAAGTCGGAGACATTGATAAACAGCAGTGCAGAGTCACAGATTGATCATATATACAAAGACAACATCATAATGAAATATCAGCACTCACTTGACTGGGCTTTTGATCAATTACGACTTTGATGAAACCCTGAAGCCCGGCTCTCTCATTCTTGTTGATTTCATGTGTGTCTGTTGAAGGTTTTTGGATCCAGGCTTTAAAACCACGTCTACTACAACAAAACATACAAACCATTCCCTTCAGGCTGCATAATGAATCATCTGACTCTTTAAACAAATTATCTTGTGTTTTATGAGTGTATAGCTGTTGAATTTCAGGTGAAAATAGCCTGTAGCAAAGAAAACCGTAGAGGTAAAACAAAAATGACAAAGAAAAAAAAAGAAATCGTTCCTGACCTAAACATGTCAGGGGTGTTAATAAACATCAGATTTATAACCTAAATCAGTTAAGACCCCCTAACATCTCTTACCTACAGACTGAGACTGAATTCGATGACCTTTTGACCTCTAGTCACTGTACAGAATGAAGCCAGCGAAAGTGCTGTACTTGTTGCTGTTCCCGCCGTGCGCTTTCCCACCGTCCAGCTTGATGAAGATCTCATCTCCGGGGTCGAGGTGCAGGATGACAGTGTTTGAGGCGTAGTCATAACTCTGATCCTGATCCTGAGCGATGGCACTGGCTCTCACCTGCAAAGAGAGGAAGAGGAACAAGAGAGGCCTTCAGCAATATGACATTTAATACAGCTGTTCAGTCTTTCAAACCTGAAAGAGAGTGACTCATAATATTTATATCTATACTATATCGAGCAGCAAACTAGCATATTAGAATGATTTCTGAAGGATCACGTGACACTGAAGACTGGAGTAATGATGCTGAAAATTCAGCTTTGCATCACAGGAAAAAATTAAACATTTATTTTAAATTGTAATAATATTTCACAATATCACAGTTTTTACTGTATTTTGATTAAAGAAATGCAGCCTTAAAAGAGACTTCTTTTGAAAAATGTTGAATTTTACATGACATATGGGTAAACAAATAACAACATTTTTGGATGAAGAATTTCTTTACAGCTTTTCTTTAAGTAAAACTGATGGGATTAAAACACTATTCTGTATTTTATTTTTTTGTTTATGCAATAGCATATCATCTCATTACTTTGATGACATACTGTCTGACTCTCAAATTACCAGCTGTGTTTTTTCCGGCAGATTAAAATGAGCTTACAATGTTTTCATGAATCTGTTTCGAACAGCTGATGGTTTATCTGTGCTTCTTCTAAAGCAGACCTTTTAAAAATGTAAATTATGAAAATGCGATCAGAAGTAAAGCTGGAGGCAAACAAGAATTGGATGTTCCTCAGTTAATTTAAATACAAGAATCCTACAAAGGAATTGTGGTTCCAAGCCTTAAACAAGTCTACTTCCTTCATACAGGTTTCCAGCAATTCTGATAAAACTAACATGCATTAATATACAATTCAGTACAAAACATGAAAGCTGCATAAAAAAAAAAATAAAAAAACACACCAAAAGCAATTTATGCACATTCTCAGAGACAATTTCTGCTGTTATTTGCACATGCTTTACACATGCATTGCATTAAGTAAATGGCAAAGCCAAGATTAATGCAAGCATGGCATACTTTACAGAAACTATAGCATTAATCCACTCAAATCCAGACACGTTAAATGCAAAACGGTCAGTTAACTGCATGATTTTAGCTAAAGTATAACTTATCATACAATTGTTGCCAGGTCTGTAATATGCAGTTGAAATATAATTTTGTCAAGAACTTTTGGTGATTTTGCTCTTTCTTCATTCAACTGCATATAACCTGTAATTGTATGTCTACTGCCAACACAGAAAAATGCAGTCGGGGGTTTTACCAGACGGCCACAGAGTGCCTTAAAAGGGACTTTGAAAAGGGACCAATATGCCTTGACATATTGAGCTGTTTCTCACTGTGAAATGTGGGTTTCCGTCCAGTCTGTGTCACATTCCCATCACATTCTCACTACCCTCCTCATTATTTCCAGCCTCTATAAATAAAACAGGCCACCTCCTCTTTAAAACCAGGTTGGGCAAACAACTTTGAGTAGGTTTCAGCTAATGGGATAAAAAAGTTTGAAGTGTTTATTTGGGAGCCAGAGAGGATGGACAATTTTGTCATTTACTTGTTTGATGGACAGGGACTGAAGTCGCTCAGATATGAGGGCATCAGTCAGACGGTGAAATGCTGTCGCTGTGGGCCATCTCTCTCTGCGCTCATATGAGTAACACAGCTGACTCAAGCACACAGCGTGCGTGGGTGTGTATATATACATGTATCTGTGTGTATAAACTCATATCCGTCATGTGTGTTTCCTTGTGTATGACTGACCGAGCATGAGGGAATTATAACTAGAGCCCACAGCCTGGCTAAAGCAAAGGAGATAAAAGATATATACAGAATAGCCATGTGTGCACAGTGTTTGTGTCAAGACTTTATGTCACAAAGATACTCTAGTGTTTCGTGTTAAAGGGATAGTTCACCCAAAAATGAAAATTACACCATGATTTACTCAAGCCATCCTGGGTGTATATGACATTTGCCTTTCAGAGAAATACAGTCAGATTTATATTAAAAATGTCCTGGCTCTTCCAAGCTCTCCACACAGCAAAATCTCTACCCCCATTCACTGCCATTATAATGCTTGGAAGAAAGTCATATACACCTAGGATGGCTTGTATTTGTATCTCTTATATGAACTATCCCTTTAATAGCAGCAATAAAAATAATAAAAATAGCAATATTATAAATGTGTATGTGTATATATATTATTAAAAATACTACTTATTATATACAGTATATTTAAATAATATATATTTTTTAAAAGTATCTATCTATATATAAATTCTATATATGTATATTATATATATATATATATATATATATATATATATATGTATAAATAGACAGTCACAGGGATATAGAGATTGGTTCTACCAATCTTACTTATATGAACTATATTTAAAAAGTATTTTTTTCTGTAAACCTTTGTGTGTGTGTGTGTGTGTGTGTGTGTTCTGATGCATATTCTGATGTGTGTGGCATCTTTTAAAGTTTTTATTTTGCGTGTGTGAAAGCAAGCTCTCCACACAGCAAAATCTCTACCCCCATTCACTGCCATTATAATGCTTGGAAGAAAGTCATATACACCTAGGATGGCTTGTATTTGTATCTCTTATATGAACTATCCCTTTAATAGCAGCAATAAAAATAATAAAAATAGCAATATTATAAATGTGTATGTGTATATATATTATTAAAAATACTACTTATTATATACAGTATATTTAAATAATATATATTTTTTAAAAGTATCTATCTATATATAAATTCTATATATGTATATTATATATATATATATATATATATATATATATATATGTATAAATAGACAGTCACAGGGATATAGAGATTGGTTCTACCAATCTTACTTATATGAACTATATTTAAAAAGTATTTTTTTCTGTAAACCTTTGTGTGTGTGTGTGTGTGTGTGTGTGTTCTGATGCATATTCTGATGTGTGTGGCATCTTTTAAAGTATTTATTTTGCGTGTGTGAAAGACTCATACTGAATTTGCGTATGTGTTTGAGTGGCCGTGGGTGTCTGAGAAGTGTCCTGATTCAGAATGACACACTGAGGGATGCCAGAAACACAAGTATAGTATGTATACACACACACACACACACAGACACAAAGCAGACCTTCTGACTAGAGGCGAACTCTTGGTTCAGTCAAACCTTTCCTTGTTTACGGTTTACATTGACAATAGACATGACAGAAGTTCATCTCAAACATGAAACTGACCTTTGCTGGAAAGCAACCCTAAATTCACTCTCTGTTACATACGGGATATCCTGATATATGAATATTCAAATTGAAACACACTGGAGTGGAATTATTCATAAACTCAAGGAATTACATCCCAGTGGCAGTCTGTCTTTCATCAGTGTTATGTAATGTATGAATTGCATATGCTGCCGGAATAATATGCACCTTATCTTTCCTTTTAAATCAGACATAGACATCAATGCAATGTTAAACAGATCTAGGACAGATAGTTATCGAAATCTGCAGTCATTATAATTAACATTTTATAAAACAACAGGTGTGTAGTAAAATACATAATTATGAACATTATAATATTATATTATAAAAAATGTGTTTTCATAAACTTCAGTACAGGTGTGTTAGCTGCAAAACTCTTACCTGTCCGTTTTTCAGGAGATCTGCCCACATACTGGTTCCATCTCCTCCTCTCATGAGGACGTTATACGTGAAGAAGTACGTCCCTGGAACCTTGCAGACAAATTTCCCAGTTGATCCATCGTAGTTATTCCCAATGTTTGTAACTATGTCATCAAACCTCAGAACCTCGTAGCCCTCCTGTGGGTTTCGCAGACCTGCGTAAAAGGCCACGCGGGGTCCCATGGTATAGACGGCTGTCCCTATTCCGGTAGCTGTACTTCCACCCAGAGCAAAGATGTCTGGTCGCTCTGTGTGGTTTTTATTTCCCGGTGGCCCCATTGGTCCTGGAGGACCTGGCTCTCCAGGTGGTCCCGGGGGTCCTAGAGGACCCGGAGGTCCTGGTAGCCCTGGTTTTCCTTGGCGGACGGGTTTGCCCTGCGGTCCGTGTGCGTAGGTGGGCAATGGGGGTCCCATGCTATGATCAGTCAGCGCCTCAGCTTCCAACTGCGTATTAGTGATAGCCGTGCCCGTACCGATATCAGCTGTAGTGCCAGTTTTTTCCAAGAACGGATCGCAGACCATTTGGCAAGTGCCCAGCATCTCGTACTGACCTCCATTTTCGCTGCTGCCCGCCAGATGAACCAGAACAGGAATGAGGACCACCAGCACCAAGAGCAGCATGACGGCTGTGCCGGCCCCCAGCAGGGTCTTCCGTCCCAGGCTGAAGCGGGAAAGCGGCTGGGCCGCCAGCACGGAGCTATCGCCGTAAGCCGGAATATTGACCTCTGGAAGTGAGAGGGAACAAACTCCCTCAACGTCAGGTGCTCACGAAGATGAGAGGGAAAATGAGAACCACCAGGGATCTCAGATGAGAGAGTGTGTGTGTGTGTGTGTGTCTTTCTTGCTTGAAAGAGAGAGAGCATTCACTGTTTCAGCAGGTGAGTGGAGAGAAGTGTTTGGGCGTTGAGGAAGGAAGTAGGATTGAGAGAGGACAGAGAGAGAATGCCCTTCTAGTGGGTTTCTTTGTATGACTCAAAAAGGACAAGTGGGAGGAGGCTTTCTGCAAATGAAGAAACAGTGGGAGAGCGAGAGAGAATCAGAGAGAAAGAAGGGTATTTGGGGAAACCCAATGCCAAGTCCTTTAAGTGTGTTTTATTGTGCAGTCTTTTGAAATATGATTTGATTTTCCACTTGTTGAACAGCAAAGACTTGATGGCAGGGTTTAGACGTGGTGGTTAGAAAAAGCACGAGGAGAGGGAAGACGAGGAAGAGATATTCTGTTTTCTCTGTCTGCGTGATGGTCAAGTAAATATGACAGGATGCATTCTAAGCATCAGTTAATCGAAAGGGACACCTGCTGAGTGCAAGCAAAAGGATTTTTCCGCTTCCCTCTTTCTCTCAAAACCGCCATCGACACATCTTCCTGGCATCGTTATGTAATTATGTCATTGTTTATTTATGTGCAGTAAACACATAGTAATTCTTCCATAGCTCGTTCGGATTTTGAGAACATGCTATGGGCATGCTAGTATTGTCTCATTTCATTAAATAAACACTAACTCATATGAGAGTTGATGATCATTTGTTGTCTTGTGCTATGATCCAGTTGTACCAAGAACAGCAGGCTGCTGTAATGAACACAACAGTATGAAAATGAGAATATTTACATTATATTTGTTCATTCAGGAGGTATTTCAATCCAAAGCCAGGCGTTCCCCATGGCGTTAACCTGAAAAGATCAAGAAACAAGATGTGAATGGTGAATGGAGAATTAGGGCCCAGACTTCTTCATCAACCCAACTTTCTAAAGCCCAGTAAACCACATTTATTCCATCAGAGAAAAACTTGCATTTTTGGAATGGTTTCATTACAGGTCTTGACATGTGTGACATGCTCACCAGCGAAAAATTAATTGCCCTTGTGATGAATCTTAGCCTCCAACGAAGTTCTGACAGTGTCAGAAATGATGCTTCACAATCCTGCTGTGTGGCTGCTCCTACGACGGCCGTCTAATTAAGAATCAGTTTGAACAGCTATCAATGGAGTACTCTGTCTGTGAGAGAAAGAAAATAAAAGTTGGTACTATATCTTGGTAGCTTTCTCTTGATATTTATATTCAATTCATATTTACAATTTACCTTAAGTTTGCTTTGAAAAATGAGCGGTCCACAAATTTCCTTCCGTCTAGCCATGACAGAGTTCAATCACTTGAGTTCTTTGTTACGCATGTCAAAGTGGATGTCAAAACATGACCCGATTGATGGCAAGACTAACTCTGTCAAACTTCTTAGATATACGGCACACAGTCAAGACTACTAACTTTTATGCAAGATCTCAATACATTTGTTTACATGCTGTTTTCTAAAGCACCTTACATCACATTCAACATATACATTTCTGACAAGCAACCATCATAAATGATAGAACTGCACTGCCTGCACCAACCTTAAGCGAAGAGCTCAAGAACATCACACAGCCGACTGAAACAGGTGGTAAATGGTTTCCTGAGGTTGCTGGTTTATTACAGGTCCTTTCTGGCCATTTATTTAATGAATGTCAGGTCTAAAAGAAAACCTGCTTGGAAATGCACAGCCTTGGGCTTGTTATGGGCGCATTTCTGGTACAGTGGTAGAATTTTCCCAGCATGCTGGACACCTGGGTCTGATTCCCAGCCCACGTAAAAAGATGTTCCATTGCAGCTGTAGGAGCTAATGCTCAATCTTGAGAATGGAGTCGTGTTGGTAAAGTTACCATGGAATCAAACCAGGGTTTTTATCGTTAAACTAAATCTATTTAAAACATTTTTACTAATTAACATAAAGCTTAAATAAAATATAAATATTAGATGGAAAAACTAAAACAAAAACAAAAATTTGAAATGTTGCCTTGCCAACTAATCAAAATGCATTTAAAAAAAAAAATACAAATAATAAAAATGGCAAAAGCACATACAGGGGGCGTTAACATAACACTGTTTTCTGCTAAAAACTGAACATTTTTCTAACCGCAAACTTTTGAAAATGGGTGTCAAAGTAACATTTTTTTGAAAATGTGTCTATTATCGTCTTTGTGTAAACTAAAAAAAACGCAAACTTGTGAAAATGGTGACATCGTATGCATGCATATTACATGTGCGCGTAGCGTTTCCTTACAAAGTGACATCGCCAACTACTGGCCTAGCATGCACAATACAGCGTTTTAGGTCATTTTCGCAGATCCGCGTGAACAGGGATCGTTTTGACAAAATTGTCGTCTGTACGCAAAAACCACAAAGGAAAAACATTTTGACATTTTTAGTACATCATTGTCAGGTAAACATACCCAAAAAGACTGAATTAAACTGAAAATATAAAAATTAAAAACTAAAATTCAAAATATTAATAAAAACTACAATAGTATATAAATAAAACTAAAATAACACTGATCAAAATGGACTATTTATTTACCTATTTAATGCATGCTCCTGGTCTTATTGTGCAGAACACATTATTTACACAAATTATGTACAAATTAAAAGTGACTTTGTAATCATTTGTTAAATGTCATAACTTGTTCCTCACTTACAACAGGATATAATTTAGTCCCAACCTACATATTTCTGTTGTTGAATATTCTGGTTCATTCAGAAATGTGTTGCATTACAGAAGTAAAATGAGTTATGAATTCATTTTATTCATTAGATTCCAGTTCAAGTTCCTGGTTGCAATGGTGTAATGGCTAAAGGTCAGCGCTAGTAACCAGAATAGCTAGTAAGCCATGAGCCATCACTTGAGAAGGACAATTAAAGTGACGGTTCACCCAAAAAAGAACTTTTCTTAATTTTTCATGTCATTGCAGACAAAAGTTTCTTGCTTTTGTGGAATATGTTTTGAAAAAAGTCTCGGTTTTATATTTCTACATTGATAATTCATGGGATTCAATGTTGTTTTGGACCCCATATTCTTTAAAGGCATGGATAAAACAGTTCTTAAAACATCTTCTATATACAGCAAAAAAAAGGTCATACAGGTTTGAAAGGACATGAGGGCGAGTAAAGCATTTTTGGGTGAAGTATCCCTTTAAATTTATGTTGCGCAGGGATTTTCTCTTTGTAAGTTCACGATGCCTTTCATTTGTCCCACCGTACACAACAGTCTAAAACCGAAGGTGAGTTTTCACACAAACATTGCATACTTTTCCATCCTCTCTTGTGGCTTGTGATGCTGTCATGGGACATGATGAAGACTAGGGGAGGGCTTGCTGACTATCGCTGAGTCACTGAAACAGAGAGAATGTTGATCATTGGCTGCAGGGAACAAAGGCCGTGCGGAGCTCCGAGCGCAGTGACTCAAACCGCGGCCGCGGTGCCCTTGACGGCGGCCGCAGTAATGCGACAAGAACAGAGACTTTTCCAGCCCTCCCTATGTAATTTACTTCCTCCACTGCTCTTCTCTTCCCCATGCCTCCGTCAGCTGAGAACAACAAGCCCCTTGAGTCAGTCACAAGCCCCCAGAGAGATGCACGCGTCCTGCTCATCCTTGAGCGAGGGGGGATTTCTTGTTCCTTATTCGATTTTACTTGAAAGCAAACATAATGTACAGATAAACCTCAGGCTGGGCCGGACAGACCATGATGTAAGCTAGAATGATCTTTGGTGTCTGTATGCATGAACATATATGTGTGTTTTTTTTTTATGGAATTGTGTCCATGTCTGGCAGCACACAGAGGAAAGGCAAAAGCTGGTAACTTTAAAAGCGATGAAAAGTGTTAAAAACAGCTGTCCAGTAATTTCAGCATCACCTCACAAGTTACACAATGCATTCACACAGCATAACTATCACTCTATTTTATGGTACCACTGCATCTGAGGAACTCGTACTACAAAATATTGTAAGAGACACTCACCAACGCCACAAACAGCCCTGAAGGGAAAGGTGAAAACAGCAGGAAAAACATTTTTATTATCATGTTTTTGCACTGTGTGTAACAACAATAAAAGCACCCAAAATATTTATGCATAATTTCTCTGCATTTTTCTTAGCGTCTACTCGAAAGCTTTTTTTTTTCTCATAGTCAAGGTGACCTGGGGCAATTTATGGAGGAATAAAAAAATTAAAAAATTATCAATGTGCCTCTAGTGGCCAAAGTTGACTACTGTGCATGCTAATTAAGGTACAGAAATATGTATTTTGTCTTATATTGCCCTATAAATGCACAGAAAATATGTAGTTTTGATGTGTTTGTGTTGTTACACATAGCAGGAATAAAAAAGGAAATAGATATGAATGCACATATTAAAATGCTGGCCGATGTTATTAACTGTTTTGATTAATAATTATTTTTAGTATGACTGGTAACCAATCAACAGCCTATATTTAAATTCTATACAATTTCAAATACATAAAGTATATAAATACATAAATATTTATATACATAAAGTAAATAAAGTAAAGATTTAGGCATTTAAGGTTTAGGCAAGTAAATTTCGGCATCACAACATGTACAGTATGAAAAAAATCAGTTAAGGTTTATTTGGCAGCAAATAAATGTAAACAAATCTAAAAAGCATAATAAATGCACAATTAAATGTCCAATATCTATTTCTGCCACATAAGAAAAAAAACTGACATAAAATGTTGAAATTAAGAGACAAGTCTCATCATTAAGACTTAATATGTCAAAAGAATGATTTTTCATATGTGGTAGAAATGGGTTTTCATAAATATTGATCCCAAAAAATTAATCTCTAATATCAACCAATAATAAACATAGTGCCGATATATTGTGCATTCCTATAGATACACTCATGAAGGCAAGTCAAAAAGACACTTTCACCTTCATCTTCAGGGCTTCTGCGTGTTTTAGGTAAAAATGTAATTACTTATGGTTCAGTGTGTGGAAAAATTGCCCAAACCGATTAACAGAAAGAATTAAGAAAATATATCTGTTTGTGTATAGTGGGAGACGGTAATTTTCTTTCGGTTCTTATGAATTAAACACTA